TGCCTAAATAAAATAGTTCAAATGTCTCTAGAAACTGGTAATCAAGGGATAAAGGAAGTTTGGGTTTTAATGAGTCAGGAGTAGGGGTTCTAGGCAAATGTCTACCTAACCTTAAAGACATTCTATTTTGTGTCTGATCTCTACTGAAAGGCTATATGCCAAAGTAGTTAAGTACTCAGACCTTGCACATCAGTTGCCTAGGTTCACATCCTAGCTTTGTGACCTATATGTTGTATGACTTTTGACAAGCTTAGTTCCAACTTTCTAGGTCTTAGTTTCATAATCTATAATAAATATATATATTCTAGATTATATATAATATAATATAGGTTATATTATATATAATCTATAATATAATATAGGTTATATTATATATAATCTTTAATAACTCAAAGGCTACTGTGTTAACCAGCTTAATACATCAAAATGTTTAAAATAATGTCTGGTATAGATGTTAAGTAGTTTGTTGGTTTTTTTGTTGTCGTTGTTGTGTTGGGGGTGGGGCATGAGGGATGGGGGTGATGCTACTCATCAGATAACTAGTCCCATTCTCTTTGGGCACACAGGTTTTGGAGAATCATTTTTTGGGGGAAATGATAGTGAAAGGAATACATCTTTGCATAACTATTTGCTCTGTTCTAGGCACTATGTTAGCTGGTTTACTGCCGTCAGGTTAATTCTGATGCATAATAACCCTGTAGAACACAATATAATGGCCCTTGTTACACTCTATGGGAGTAGATAGCTTCATCTTTCTGCAGCTGGTGGTTTCAAACTGCTGACCTTGAGGTTACCAGCCCAACACATAGCCCACTTTACTACCAGGGTTCCATCACATACACATTCAAGCCTCCCAGTATTAACCAGACTCTCAAAACTTTCTGGCTCTTCTACATTTTCCCATTCATCTTCTTCCTTCCCCATTCCCCACAGTGATTTCCCAGTTTTACCTTGTTTTCTGAAGATGCCTACGCTATCACTTCTACCTCTATTCTCAACAGACAGCTAGATCTGATAAAAGCTATGCTGGAAAATGTAGCTTGAAATGGGAGCCTTTCACCCAATAAAGTAGCATGGTGCTGTGTCAGGTAAGCCTGCGCTAAATTGGGGAGATCCTGCCTCTACTGGCGTTGCAGAGAACATGTGCTCTCTGAGGACAGCGAAGTGCCAAAGGCAGAAGACATTGCTGAGCCAGGCACAACAGCTTATTCTTCCCAAATTGCACAACTCAGGCCCTCCACATTTTCCTGGTCAGAGAGAGGCCAAACCTTACACGAATGAAGCTCCCTTCACAAGAAAGGAGTCAAGGGCTAGAAGTCAATCCAAACAGCTAGTCTGGTTTCCTGTACTTTACCTGGGCTACTGCTCTAGTAAAGTGATGCAATTCTCTGTACCAGCAAAGCTTGGTTTGTATTGATTGTGGCTCTCTCAAGATTGACCCAGGAGCTAAGGTGGTCTAGATCAGATGATGGGTGGTCATTAGTAAATCTAGCAATTATTAATAGAGATGGGAGGCCAAGGGAATCAGCACAGAGAAAATAAGTCAGGACTGTCCACCCAAACCTAAGAGAACTATATAACCCAGGCCTATAAAGGCCCTTGGGAAGCCATAGAATTATATCTCTTGAATTTCTCAAGCTCTGTACATACTTTAAGGGTGGTTTCAAGGTCTTCATTATGTTGTTGTTGTTGTTAGGTACCATGGTTCAGACTCATAGCAACCCTATATACAACAGAATACAACACTGCCCCATCCTCACAATTGTTCTTATGTTTGTGCTCATCGGTGCAGCCACTATGTCAATCCATATTGTCCAAGGTATTATACTCTTCACTGTCCCTCTACTTTACCTAGCATATATCCTAGGTACATGAGATGTTCAAAGTACATGAGACAAAGTCTCACCATCCTGGCCTCTAGGGAGCATTCTGGCTGTACTTCTTCCAAAATAGACTTGTTTGTTCTTTTGGCAGTCCGTGGTATGTCAGTATCATTCACCAGAACCATAATTCAAATGTATAATTCTTCTTTGGTCTTTCTTAGTCAATGTCCAACTTTCACATGCATATGAGATGATTGAAAAATACCCTGGCTTGCATCAGGAGCACCTTAGTCTCAAAGTAAACCCCATGCTTTTCAACACTTTATAGAGACCTTGTGCTGCAAATTTACTCAATGCAATGCATTGTTTGGTCTCTTGACTGCTGCATTCATGAGCATTGATTGTGGATCCAAGCAAGATGAAATCCTTAACAACGTCTGTCCCTTCTCCATTTACTGTGATGTTACCTACTGATCCAATTATGAGAATTTTAGTTTTCTTTACATTGAGTTGTAAGCTATACTGAAGGTTGCAATCCTTGATCTTCATCAGCAAGTGCTTCAAGTCCTTCTCGCTTTCAGCAAGCAAGGTTGTGTCATCTACATATCACAGAGTGTTATTAAGCCTTCCTCCAATTCTGATACTTTGTTCTTCTTCATATAATCCAGCTTCTGTGATTATTTGCTTAGCCTGAAGATTGAAAATGTATGGTGGGAGGATATAACCCTGATGCATACCTTTCCTGATTTGAAACCATGCAGTATTCCCTTGTTCTGTTCACAGAACTGCCTCTTGATCCAGGTACACGTTACCCCTGAGTACAATGTAACATTCTGGGGTTCCCAGTCTTCTCAAAGGTTATCTATAGTTTGTTATGATCCACACAATCGAATGCCTTGGCATCGTCAATAAAACACTAGTAAACATTGTTCTGTTATTCTCTGCTTTCAGCCAAGATCCATCTGACAACAGCAATTATATCCCTTGTTCCACATCCTCTTCTGAATCTGGCCTGAACCCCAGGTAGCTCCTTGTCAATGGATTGCCACAACCATTGTTTTAGTATCGTCAGCAAATTCTTACTTGCATGTCCTATCAATGATATTATTCTATAATTTAAGCATTCTACTGGGTCACCTTTCTCTAGAACGGGTACAACTGTGGATCTCTTCCAAGCAGCTGAGCAAATAGCTGTTTTGCAAATTTCATGACATAGACAAGTACGTGCTTCCATAGCGTCATCTACTTGTTGAAACATTTCAATTGGTATTGAACAATAACATTTCAATTCCTGGAGTCTTGGTTTTGGCTAATACTTTCCGTGCAGCTTGAACTTCTTCCTTCAATACCATTACTTCTTGTTCAACCTTTTTATTATTACTTTTTGCTCAACCTCTTGAAATGTTCACTAGTTCTTTTTGATATAGTAGCTCTGTGTATGCTTTCCATCACCTTTTAATGCTTCCTGCATCATTCAATATTTTGACTATCGAATCTTTCAGTATTGCAACTCGAGGCATGAATTATTTTCTTAAGTTCTCTGTTTAAGAGCATGTTCTTGCTTTTTGGTTTCCCAACTCTAAATCTTTGCAAATTTCATTATAATATTTTCCTTTGTCTTCTTAAGCTGCCCTTTGGAAATTTCTGGTCAGCTCTTTAACTTCATCATTTCTTCAGTGTGCGTTGGTTACTCTATGAATAGAGCAAGCTGCAGAATCTCTTCTGATATGCATGCTGATCTTTTATTTCTTTCCTATATATTTAATGACCTTTGGATATCTTCATGTATGATGTTCTTGAAGTCATCCACAACTCACCATGTCTTCTGTCAGTAGAGTTCAGTGCATCAAATCCGTTCTTCAGATATTCTTGAAATTCGGGTGAGATAGACCAAGATCATAGTTTGGTTCTGTGGGCTTGTTTTAATTTTTGTCACCTTCAACCTGAACTTACTTATTGATGGTCTGTTCCATAATCAGCCCCGGAACTGTTCCCTACAGATGTAGCCCTTTCGATTTCTGTGTGTTCCATCTGGAGATGTTCATGTGTAAAGTGTTCGTGTTTTTTTAAAAGGTATTTGTGGTTAAGAAGTCGTTGGTCTTGAAAATGTTGTCATGTGATCTCAGGCTTCATTTCTATCACCAACTACTGGGGTTTTTTTTCCCCCCCTCTTTATTCCCATGCATCTTGAGTGTATGTTTGATCAATTTCAGACTGTACACCTTGGTGGAATTCTTCAACTTCTTCGTCACTAGCTTTGATGGTTGGTGCATAAATTTGAATCATAGTTATATTGATTACATTCTTTTGTATCTGAATAGATATATCTGATCACAGACAGATAGCATTGTACTTCAAGGTAGACCTTGAAACGTCCTTTTTCATAGTGAATGGAATGCCATTCCTCTCGATTGCTTCATTCCTAGTTTAGTAAGCCATAAGATTTTCTGATTCAAAATGGCTGGTAGTCCATTTCAGATCAGTAACACCTAGAACGTCCATTTTTATGCATTCCATTTCATTTTTACCACTTCTCATTTTCCTAGATTTATACTTCATACATTCATGGTTCCAATTATTCACTGATGTTTACAGCTGTTTCTTCCCATTGTCAGTTGTGCCCCATCAGCAATCAAAGGTCTCAAAGACTCTCCTCCCAAAGGCATATTACTCTCTCCATATTATTATGGTACTCTATTCTGAGAAGGCTTCCTCAGTCATATTTTAAGAGCTCTCTAACCTGAGAGGCTCATCTGTTAGCACTATCTCCAACAATGTTCTCTATCATTTCATGAGGTTTCAGTATGTGACAATATTTTGATTCTGTCCATGGGCTTCCAGTGGCTAGTTCAGAAGTGAACACCCTATTCCATCTGTTTGTTGTACTGTGGTGGTTGGTATGTTGTACTGTAGTGGTTGGTATGTAGCTCTGGGAGCTATGTCACTGGTTTTTCAAATACCAGCAGGGTCACCCAAAGTGAACAGGTTTCAGCAGAACTTCCAGATTAAATCCTCTTGTTAATACCTAGGAATAAAAGTTATTGCATCAGAAGAGACTGTAATTAGACTTGGAGTCGAACTTCCCTGATGGGCATGAGAAATGCCAGAGGAGAAGAGGTTGGCCATGTTGATGGTGGAATAGTGGAAGGGCTTACCTGTTTTCTGTTTCGATTACAGCAATCACTTGTGGACACCCAGGTAACCCTGTCAATGGCCTCACTCAAGGCAATCAGTTTAACCTCAACGATGTGGTCAAGTTTGTTTGCAACCCTGGGTACATGGCGGAGGGGGCCACTAGGTCCCAATGCCTGGCCAGCGGTCAGTGGAACAACATGCTGCCCACCTGCAGAAGTGAGTCATTCATTCCTCCTCTCCCACTCCACCCCTAGCATCTCCGCTATTGGTGATTCTATAACCAAAGAGCCAAAGCCAAAGAATTCATTCGCATTCTTGTGACTCAGATAGAGAAGACTCAGAGCAGACAAGGTCATTAAGGAGGAACTTCTTCAACCCCATAGCCAGATAGCCTTGCATAAAATTCCATCATTATTACAAACAGGAAGGGAATGCTTAGTTTCATCTTTCCAAATAGAAGTAGAAAACAGCCTTGTTTGCATTTCATAGAGCAAGTAATTCATCATTATCATATAGAGCCCTGTGCTAAATGGAAGAAAATAAGCCAAAGAATTAGGATGAAAAATAAAAGCGAGTCTAAGGGTTAGGTTGAAGAGAGAGGGGGGAAGGCAGAGAGACATGGAAGGGAAACCAAAGACTTCAGAGACAGCCTAGGAAGAGCCTCGCCAGGCCGCCGGGACCAATTGAGGAGCGAGTGCCAAGGCTGTTAAAGCCTCCTTGTAGCTCCCAAGCACAAATGGGCTGCCTCCCCTTCGGTGATAGTGGTTTGGCAGAGTCAAGAACATTCAGAGTGTTAGGTCTGGACTGGACACCAGTGTGCCCAGTCCTGATTAGAGGTCATTCAAGCTTCATAACTGTGAAGGCCTAGCGTCCCAGAGATGGTGAACCTTCATCGAAGGGTTGTGAGTGACCATATGTCACGACTCGTATGAAACTGATAGTCAGGACCAAGGTTTTCTAATGATGCTTGAAAGCAAATCACAATCGACCACAACAAAATACACTGCCAACCCACAGCAATCATGGAGGACAGAGGAGAAGCACCCTCCGAGAGTTCTCAAGACGGTAACTCTTTATGGAAGCAAACTGCCACATCTTTGTCCCACAGAGAAGCCTGCAGGGTCAAGCTGCTAATCTTTTTGTTAGCAGTCAAGCGCTTTAACCACTGTGCCACTAGGACTCCTTCCAACCAAGGTAAAAACCCAACCCAATTCTGCCGTGGACTCAACCCTGACTCATAGCGATTCTAGCCCTATAATAATATTCCCTTTCTTAGTGGTGCAAGGGGTCAATACTTGGGCTGTTGACCATTATGCCGGTGATTCAAAGATGAGAAATATCAGGCTGTCTGTTCTTACAAAGATGTACAGTTTTGGAAACCATGTACAGTTCTAACTTGATGGCAGTGGATTTGGTTTTTGTTTGGGGAACTTTAATATCATAGCATCAAGTTTAAATTTTAAAAGTCAACTTCCTCCCCTAGGATGCTAACCTCTTCATGAAATATCGAGAAAAGTAATTAGAACTGCTTCCCAAAGAGCCCAACCCCGAGTCAGATCAACTCAAATGAATCAATTGTACAATTAGGGAGTTTTGCTGTGGGTTGAGCTGTTGGGGCTACAGAGACCTGCCCTCAGGGAACTCAGGTATTCTGAGAAATCATAATCCAGGCTGGTAAAATCTGCAGTACAGGTCTATGCAAGGCCCCCCTGGGGAAGAAGAGGATAACACGTCCAGGAGACGGGGGGAAGGAGAGGAGAAATTATAGGATGCTCAGGACCCTCTCAAGCTACGAGGCAAGAGCTGCTTTGCGTAGTCTAGTGTCAGTCTGGAGTTGTGGCGTGCCACTTTGGACTTCTGAATGGTCACTTCGAAGCTTGAGAAAATTGACCAGGTTCCTACCTCTCATCGGCTGCTCTCGTTACAGTCATCAACTGTACAGACCCCGGGCACCAGGAGAACAGCACTCGACAAGTCCGTGCCCGTGGCCCACACAGGTTCAGCTATGGTACCACCGTGTCTTACCAATGCAACCACGGCTTCTACCTTCTGGGAACCCCAGTGCTCAGCTGCCAGGGTGATGGCACATGGGATCGGCCCCGCCCCCAGTGTCTCTGTAAGTATTTCTTATTTGTCCTCGTTTTCATTCCTGATTTTAGTCATTTCGGTCATCTCTCTTTTTTTTAATTTTTTTTTTACCTTCATCAGTTCTGTGATCTTTTCAAAGAACGAAGTTTGGTTTCATCGATTTTTTTCCTATTGTTTTTCTATTCTCTGTTTTATTTATTTACCCCTGCTCTGATCTTTATTGTTTCCTCTCTGGTGCTTCCATGGCTTCATTTTGATCTTCCCTTTCTGATTCCTTAATGTGTGCAATTAGGTTATGGATTTTAGAACTTCTGTTCTGATGTTCACATTTGCAACTGTATGTTTCCTCTCAACGTGGCCTTCACTGCGTCCCGCCAGTTTCTGTATGTTGTGTTTTCCTTTTCAGTCACCTCACAATATTTTCTAATTTCCCTTGTGATGTCTTCATTTTATCCACTGGTTATTTAGGGCGAGTTTAATTTCCATGTGCTGGTGAACTTTCCCAATGTTCTCCTGCTATGGAGTTGTGACTTCGTTGCTCTGTTGTCAGGAAACACACTGTTGCTGGTGTCAGCCGGGTGGTTCTGACTCCCAGCTACCCTGTGTCCAGCAGAACGAAATCCTGCCCCTCCTCCAGCACCTTCGCAGTCACCCCTGGTGTTGAGCCAGTGCTGCAGCCACTGTGCTAGTCTGTCTTGCTGAGGGTCTTCCTCTTTTCCACTCACTCTCTGCATTAACAAGCATGATGTCCTTCTCCACAGACTGGTCCCTCCTGATAATGTGTCCAAGGAGCTCACGTCCAAGGAGCGTTTCGCTATACAAATAAGTTTATAACAACTTTATCTCAGTTCTCCATAAAACCTTTACCCCTCTATGGCTGCATGGCCTCCCACTTCCTTTGTGTTGTGATTGTCATAAAATCCTATCTTTATACATCACATGCCCATCAGCACAGATTTCTAACTATTGTCTTTTAAAACGGGAGGGAAAAACAAGTTATAAATAAAAGCTACATGTATACTGACTTTTATACTTGTCTATGCAATTACCTTTACTAATTAATACTCCTTATTTATTCATGTGTATTTGGGTCCTTTCATTTCAGCCTAAAGGATTCTCTTCGGTATTTCTGCGAGCAATGCATTCCCTCCGTTTTTGTTCATCTCTTTTGATTTCCTTAATTTGTTTAAGGGTAGTTTTGCTGGAAATAAAATTCTTGATTGACAAATTACCCAGTTCAAATTTAAAACCAATTTAATTTTAATTATCTGTAAAACTTTTGACTGATAAATCTTTTCCCTTCAGACACAGCTTTGAACGTGTCAAATTCTTGATATACTGGGATTTAAATGTACTCATCTCATTTTGCATTTTCTGTTTCTGCTATCCATCCTTAGTTGCATTTTCCCCTTTCTTATCTTCATTTGGGTTAATTATAATTCTATTTGTTTCTCCTCGTCTAGTTAGTAAAGGACATATCTGTTCTCCCCATTTTTGGTTGGTTACATTAGAGATCACAATAGGAACACTTAACTGATTAAGGTCTATAGCTAACCATCATCCTTTACTTCCTCCTAGGTAGCACGAGAAACTTAGAATACTTTGAACTCTGTTTATTTTCTTCTTAGATTTTATATTATTGTTTCTTAGATTTACGGTATCTTAATGTTACCCTTTTTTACCAACATATTTGCCACCTTCTCTGCTCTCATTTATTCTTATATCCTCAACCTTCCAAATAGGATCACATTTCTTTTTCTTAAAGGACATGTTTCAGAATTTTATTTAGTGAAGATCTACTGATGGCAAATGCGCTCAGATAGTTGTTTATCTGAAAATGCCTTTAGTTGTCACACTTTTTTAAAAGATTTTTTGGGTGAGTTAGAAATCCACGTTGGCATTTCTTTTCTTCCAGTCCAGAAAAGAAATCACTCTTCTATCTTCTGGCTGCTTGTATTGCTATTGAGAAGTCAGCTGTCAGTCTTATACTCCTTTGAAAATAATTTTTCTCTGTCCTTGGCATTTTGCATTTACCTTAGTTCTTAGATGAAAATCTAGCTGACTCAAAAAGTCTCCATTGACACTATTTTCTCCTGGCACTATATCCTGGCTTCCATTACTAATGAGAAGTGTGCTTTCATTGTCAGTGTTGTACCTTTTATGTAGTATAACCTTCAAATGCTCCCTTTCTCACTGGGATTCTGAATTTTCATGATACTGTCGTTAGACTGAGATTTTTTTTTTCTTATCCTTGGATTTCATTACCCTTTCTGGATTCTTTACTGACCTTTGGGGAAAATCGCATCTGTTATCTCTGTAAATATCCCCTCTCCCACATTCTCTCCCTTCACTGTTTCTGAAATTCCAGCTTCAACCTTCTCATATCATTCATCCTGTACCTGAACCTCTCTTGCACATACTTCATCTCTAATAAATTTCTTCAAGTCTGTCTTATTGTGTTCACTGGTTGTTTTGGGCTATTTCTAAACTGATGCTTAACCTATAGTTTCAGTTATTTTATATTTGAGTTCTGTTTGTTGTTCATATCTGTTTACTAATCTTTGTTGTATTTTATTTCTCTGTAAATCTGTTCCTTTTAGATCTTTACATACTAAATCTATTTTCTGTGTATTCTGTATCTGATCACCCCAGTATCATTGTCTAAGTCTGCTATTGTTATTTCTGCTGATTCTCCCTCATGATGATTTATGTCTTGGGTTTTATTATGTTTAAATTTTGATCATGTATTTGACCTAACTTCATCTGTGGGAACCGTGAACAAGGCACTTCCTCAGGAAGAGGCTGGTGTCTAAATGCAGGCCATTATCTCACCAAAGAAAATCACCAATGCTCAACAGCTGCAGAGAATCTATAGTCCAGAAAGTCATTGGCCTCTTCTTTTTCTCATTGAATATTGGCAGAGGTACTAAACTAAAGCAGTTACAGAGAGCACCACAGCATACCCAGAGATGCATAAACCAAGAGGCAACATACTCTCTTCCTGCTGGAGCGGACTTTGTCAAGACAGTTCACATGCAAGTGAGCTTCATGTTGCATATATGAACTTCAACAAGATTCCAAAACAGGCATATTCTAACATTAGAACCTCACCCCTTAGCCATTTGTTAATAGTAAACAGTATGGAAAATTCTGCTCAGGTTTGCTGGAAATATTTCAAAAGCACCAGACTGTCAGGGACTTGACAATGGTTGTGGTGCCCTAGGCCCCAGGTGGCACTCAGTTAAACCATTTTCACTGATGTTTCATGATCATCATCACATTGCTTTAGAGAGTTGAGTGCATTTCTACCTTTAGAGGAGCCTCGTACCTGTGGTGAACACTGGAAACTTTTGGAGGACTTTGCATATCCCCGTGGGAGAAAGACAGGGCTTTCTACACCTATAAAGGGCTACACCCTCAGAAACCCCCTGTCCTATAGGGTCACTATAAGTTGCATGGCAGTGAATTTACATATCCCCAGAGTATCCCTGTCAGTGAAGATCAGCTGCTGCTTCCAGAGGAAGGCAAACTGATTCGAATGTACAAGGATCAAGAAAAATGCATTACCCAGGACTATGATTCTATGCCATACTAAAACCCAGCTAACGTGCCTGAGGGTCTAGGAATCAATTTGGGAGTCTTTTTTCCTCTTCCCATGGGACTCGGCAACCATGAATTGTTGCTCTACCCAGGAGGGTTGGGTGGTCTCCACTCCTGTGCGGACTTGCTGGCATGTTTTGCTTTTCCCCACAGTGGTGTCCTGTGGCCATCCAGGCTCCCCGCCCTACGCGCAGATGTCTGGAGACAGCTACACCGTGGGGGCTGTCGTGCGTTACAGTTGCAATGGCAAACGAACACTGGTGGGAAATGCGACCCGCATGTGTGGCCTCGACGGACACTGGACTGGCTCCCTCCCCCACTGCTCAGGTACAATGCATGGAGGTGGAATGGGGGGTGGGGGCAGCGGGAAGCAGTGGTATTCTTGTGGCTTGTGAGGGGTGGGAGGTGGACGAACCTCCACGGTGTGGAATTGAAGGGTGGGAGGGAGTCAGGCCTTTGGCTCATAGGCAGAGATCCCAATATATTTTTTAAGAGGTTCCAACAAGACTTCAGCCCATCAGAGTCTGAGCCCCACTTTCTCCTTTTGTCACCACTGGCCAAGACCATAGTCAAAAGTTTATAAAGCTAGGCGTGACACAATTCTGTGAAGTCAACATACACCTGGAGTCCAGTTCAGACCCTTGATTCCCTGAGTTGAAGAAATTCAGTCTTCCTGCTGTAACAACCAGACCTGAACTTGTTTCTTTCTTTCTCCCCCAACAGTTGTATGGGCATATCATTCACATGTCATGCAGTTCAATAGGCCAGTCACATCAAGAAGAGTTGTGCAGTCATCACCACAATCCGTTTTAGAACATGTTCTCATTCTTGTACGCATCATGATTAGCTCCCCTTCCCCCCCCCCAACTTCCCCTGCCGTATAGGCCTTTCTTTCCCCCCAAACCCCTAGGTTTCCTTTGCTATCGCCTCCCACCTGCTCCCACCCACGCAGGTGATCTTGTTGCCTAGTGGAAGTCGTCTTCCCAGCAGCCTTGAGGCCATCCCCAAACTTTGCCCTTTGTTTCTTTGTTTGTTTTTACTACGAATCTCCGTGAGGACCCTGACAGATATTATCACAATAACATGTCCATCGTATGCAAGCCAGAAATGTATCTATAATGGTGTGTGTGTGTGTGTGTGTGTGTGTGTGTGTGTGTGTGTGTGTGACTCCTGGCATTTTTCTGTTTGGCCTTTTTGTGGAGATAACGTGCAAGGGCAGGGGACGCACACACTCCTGAATTATCCACAGAGCAAGTGCTAGAGAGCGCTTGCAAGGTCTCTTCCGTCTCAGCCAGCAACGTCTTTTCTCTGGAGACCTGTGAGGTCAGGGTTAGAAGAGATTCTATATGTGCTTAGGCCAAGGATTAAATGACCCTAAATGCCTTAGATACGAAAGTGAGTACTTAAAAGAATTGGAGATTCGGAAGTCATTCCAGGTATACACTAGTGAATAAAATTGACATGGTACCTCCCTTCTGAAACTTACACCCAGCCATCTTTGGCGAGTCCTAGAAAATACGCATTCAAAGTACCGTGGTCAGGTGTCTGAGCCCGGCCCTGTACAGTCAGTGAGCCCAGAAGATACAAAACAGAATCTCCTGAGTCCTTGAATCCTAAGCCTCTGGGCCATCAGGAATGCGCTGAGAGTTCTGGCATTTTAAGAAGTTCAGTAAAGACATATATCAGTAGTTGCCATCTGTTTTCTCTGCCCACATTACTTTATGGGGAGCATTGTGTCATTGTGCCAGAACAAGCCCCCAGAATTAGAGAGTTCCACGTGTGTGCTGATTTTCCAGTAGTGCTGGCTCCCGCTGAGGCCTGCGGGTCAGTGTGGAAGTTGGAGCTTCTCACCATCAGGGTTGTCGTCAACAGAGCCCAAGGCTGCCTGTTGCCCAAACTGCATCCTGGGCAACTTAAACCAGCAAATGAGATCAGTCCTCTTTTCATATATGTCTAGGTTGGATGCTCCCCTGGCTTTGGTGGGGAAGAAGAATGGGGAACAGTAGTTATGGAGTACTCTCAGAGTCTAAACTAGAAAAGGAAATGATTCCAAGTCAGAGGGTGGAAGACTCATCAATGGCAAGTGGAAACGAAAACATGCGTTGGGCATTCATTGACACCCAACAAACTAAACATGGTCACTTAGATGTTGCCACTTTGATGGCCACGCATGTAGGTTCATGAGGAGATAGCTTCCACACAGCTGGAAGTCTTATTTTCTCATGCAGCAGCCACGTATTCCTAATCTTCCTCTTCCTCCTTCATGTTTGCCATGGCCTAGTTTGATGCCCACCTGTGCGTCTTTGTGTTTTAAAATGTGTTGGCTCCTGTCAGCACTAGGTGCTGTGACTTTGTTCCTGTGCTCTGCCCTCCTTTACTTCCTGCTCCTTAGCACTCTCTGGGCGGGGTTTGTGCAGTGTCAGAAGCAGCTAACTGCTAGCATGGAGCAACAGCAAGGAAGAAAGCAAGAGTGAAGTGAGAGGGTCACAGTACTTGATCTAGAGCACATGTGCATTGAGCAGTTTGAGGGTAAGGAGTCAACTAACCTCCAAAGATCATACAGTCCAAGATGGACGGCAGAGAAGGGGAAGCTCTGCTCAGGAGTTGGGACTTTATGCTGTAGGAAGCCCAGGGATATGTTCCAGCAGGAAAGACATAATAATTGATAGTTGTTGGTTGCCTGTGGTTAAATGTTAAGGATAAGGTAGAGGCAGATTAAGGGGAGAGTTTAAGAAGAGCCATTGAACCTCTAAGCTAAGACAATGACATTGGGAATGGGGGTGGGGGGGATAAAGTGGAATCAGCAGATGTGGATGGCCAGTTGGGTAGGGAAAGGTAAAAGAGAGGCAGCACTGTGGCTACTGAAATTCCCAATTGGCCCAAGCTCAAGATGATTTTCCTTTCAGGACCTTCCTTCTGCCTTCCTATTTCTCTTTGCCATGCAGTTCCCAGGGACTCATCCTTGACCTTTGTACTCTCTGACAACTGAGGAAGGAGACAAGAGCCTGTCCAGATAACCTAGGCTAAGCTCAGAGCTAGCACTGCTCATCAATATTAAAGCCCATGGCGTCCCCTCAACAACGATCCAGCCTCTTCCTCACTCCCTGTCCTCCACCTCCTTGTCTTCTATGCTAAAAGTAACAGTATAATTGCTTCTGGCCCATAGGAACCAGCATGGGCGTTTGTGGTGACCCTGGGATCCCCAGCCATGGCATCCGTTTGGGGGATAGCTTTGCTCCAGGCAGTCTGATGCGCTTCAGCTGTGAAGCTGGCCACGCACTCCGGGGCTCGTCAGAGCGGACGTGTCAAGCCAATGGGTCATGGAGCGGCACACAGCCTGAGTGTGGAGGTAATGTATGTGACGCCTTCTGCTTTTCCCTTTTGCCTGTCCCCAGGTGCTCTTCCCCGATTCTCCGGCCCCCGGTGCCTGCCTACCCTCACACTCACAGATAACATCTGTGGCCCCCTTTGACCCCTTGGGCTGGTGTCTAGTCGATGCAAACAGATAGCTCATGTGTGTCTTCACTCGTAATCCCCACTCTCAACTAAATGAGAAAACAATCAGGAAAACATGAAATGTAGTCCATTGATTCATCCATGTCTCGTATCATTTTCTTCAAGAGCTAACTACATGCCAAAGACTATGGCATGTATTGGGTCTACAGTGGTGACCAAGGACATACACCTCTTGCCTTCTAGGAGCTTACAGTTTAAGGTGGGGTGGGGATGACACAGTGTTCACGGTGCATGTAAAGTACCAAAGAAATGGAAATCCAATTTCTGAAGAACACTTTAAGATATAAAATATAGGCCCATAATGATGTTTTCTGAAGACACTTAATATTTATATATATATATATATAGAAATATATATTATATATATATATAGAAATATTTATTTCCTTTTTTTAAATTATTTTATTGGGGGCTCATACAAGTCTCATCACAATCCATACAGACATCCATTGTGTCAAGCGCATATGCACATTTGTTGTCCTCGTCATTCTCAAAACATTTCCCTCCCACTCTAGCCCCTAATATCCGTTGCTCATTATTTCACACACACACACACACAAGTGAGTTTTTTAAAACTTTTTCCCCAAAGTCCAGCTTTTTAGAACTGATACCCAGTTCTACATGTCTTCCTTAAAACAGCCTGTCCTGACCTCCTAGCTAGGGAACAAGTTTCACCGCTTACAGTGAGGCCAATGGGAAGCTGTTGGAAGGAAAGAGAAGATATGAACGAGCCATCCAGTGAGGCATGAGCGTGGGCCTCATAGGGCCATGTGGACTTTCCAGGCAGCACTGAGGACTGTGGGAGGTTAGCAGTCATAAACCTATAGTGACATCATCCGTCTCTTTGGTTCAAGCACCAACAATATCAATTGGGAACCCTCATGGCATAGTGGTGATGAGTTGGGCTGTGATTCGTAAGATCAGCAGTTCAAAACCACCAGGCCCTCCAAGAAAGGAAAATGGGCCTCTCTGAACAGTTAGTCTCAGAAACTCACAGGGGCCCTTCTGCCCTGGCCTATGGGGTCGCTATGAGTCAGCATCGACTCAATGGCAGTGAGTGAGAGGCCAGTAGAAAATGTCGCGAGACAAGGTACATGCAAAGCAGTGAATATAATAGATATTGCGATCCAAAGCAGAAACAGACTTATACCTAGCGTGAGAGTCAGTGACAAAGTGGTAGGACGGATAAACATAGGTCCCAGTGGGATCAAAGAGCACCAGAGGACCAACCCCCACCCCACCAGGAGAGGCTTCCATTTAGTGAGCACTGAGTTTCCGTTTATGGGAATAGGGAGTGTGGCAGTGGATATTGTTGATGGTTACACCATATGACCGATATACTCAGTGGTTTCATTGAACTGGATTTGTAAATGTAGTGTTACCTACATTTTTAGGACAATTTTAAACCCCGTGCCAAAAACAAAAACAAAAACAAGCCAGCTGTGGTTAGAAGAGAGCAGGCTGTTTGAAATCAAGAGAGTGGCACAGCTTCTACCAAAACTAACGCCAGTGGCAAGCCCTGAAAAGGTACCTCTGTCTAAGCGCATCATGATACATATTTAGCATTTATTGTACACCTTTGACAATTAACCCAACTATCAAAACTCTACCTTCAGGATCCAATTATTCATTGTCATGGAAGAGGGTCTTTTAAAAAAAAAAAAAGCAGGCTTGTGCCACCACCTGCCATTCCCCTCACCAACACCCCCAATCCCACCTGTGTTAGACTGGGTTGACTAGAGAAACAAATCCAGGGACACTCATATGTATAAGAGAAAGCTTTATATCAAGAAGTAATTACATAGCAAGCAAACATCCCAGCCCAGTCCAGATCAAGTCCATGCATCCCATACTACTCCATAAATCTGATACTAGTCCATAAAACCTTCTTCAGACTCACACAGCCACACACAATGACTCAGAATGCAGAAAGATCCCAAGCCGGTGGGTGGAAAGTCTTATAGATCCAATGGCGGTGGGCGCACCTCCAGGGCTCTGGCTGTCATCAGCGTGGCTCAAGGTGGCTCATCAACAGGAAGGTGAAGCGGAGAAAGAGAGAGGTGAGGTTCCCAGGGCCCTCTGTATGAGAAGGCCATGCCCACTAGGAGGCACCATCAGGCTGTGACCTAATTGACAAGCTGGACTCCACCCCTATATTAATTTATCAAGTTGACATGAAATTATGTAACTACCAAACCGCCCTAGAACCTTGGCTGCCCTCCAACCCTGGAGTAACGTTTCCCTCCAGTTTTGTGGAAGGTTATATTAGAAGAAAAAAGTCCCTGACATCTAAAATCCTTTCAGGGAAAAGAGAGAGTTTGACAGATGGGTATATGGGTAGTGGGAAATCTAGGGCTGGGTTCCAAGAGCAGGTCAATGAATTGGTAAGCTGAGGCCATGGAGTGGAGGGCTGTGAGGGATGGGCTGAGTGGGAAAGGAGGCAGTAGAAGAGAGTGACAGCATTAGAAGAAACTCTAACCTCAGGAAAGGACTCTCAAGGACTGGAGTATTCGTATTCATTGTACCTTACTGAATGATCCCTCACAACTGGAGATGGGACCTGCCATGCTTAGTAGAAACTACGTGGTGACCATTCCTTCCCATTGCACCCAAGCCGTCCCTGCCCTCCCTGCCATTACTTATAACCGTGTGCCCCTCTCCTCTGGTTCGTCCCACGGAGCAGAGACACCTGCCCGGGAAATGATATGGATGGAGTCAGTGTCCTCTGACTCATCGACCCAAAGTCCTGCCTTTCCCGAGAGCAATATTTGCCAAATTAGTTTCTAAAACATTGTTTAAATGTAGGAAGAAAGGTATGGTGGTAGAATTTACCAGCAAGGGATATTTTAAGTATATTTTTAAATACATACTGTGACAATTGGGTGGAGGGGAGGGAGGGAGAGAGAAAGCGAATACCTACCCAGGTCCTAACTTGGCAAGGTTCTACTCAGAGCTTACTTCTCACCTCCGGTCCAATCAACGGATCTCTTCTCAGTGTGTCTTTTCCTTCAAGTCTAATACTTCAAGTTCTCACATTTTAATGATTTTAATTGATCTACGTATGTAAGTCTCTTAGAAGAGACAAGCTCCTCAAGGGTAGGGATACAGTTTGTTGGATGGATGGATGGATGGATGGATGGATGGATGGATGGATAGACAGATGGATGACAGGGCCTATATGTTGTACTAAAGATGTCGGAATCATGTTGCAGATTTGACTTGGAACCAGGTTAATGTCACATCTAGTTACAAAATAAGAAAATCAAAGATGAAATGCAAGCAATCTCTAGACATAAAAATCAAAATGGAAAAAAAATCTAACCATGTATCAAGTTGGCCGTTTCCCAAACCAGAGAATTTTTTTAAGTGGCTTTAAAACTCAGTAATTTGGCTGTAGTATATATGCTAAAGACAAAGAGGATTGCAAAAAACTCCTATGCTGTTTTCACCAATCACATAGTTAGTAATGGTGTTGGGACTGCTCTTCTGAAGTTACTGTGCGTGCACTCTGTGTGTGTTCGTGTTGTTGCTCCTTTGGGTGGTAGAGCTGCTCGGGAGGGTTTTCCTGCCTGGATCTTTACAGAAGCCACTTACGAGGCCTTTCTTCCACCAAGCTGCTGGGTGGATCTGAACCACCAGCCTTTGGGTTAGCTGCCAATTGAAAACCACAAACCTTTGCCCCACCTAACCTCAATATACACATTTGTGTGCATAGGAATACATAACACACATAAACATACATATAATATGATATCTATGGATAATGCAAACAAAAGTAATTACATCTTATTAAGAACCAAGATTTTCATCATAAAAGAGAGAAAATGTAAAAAGAAATTATGCTAAAACCCTTAATCCTCAATTTGGATTGGTATTATCAATATAAACTCATAATGTTTTACCAATTTTAAAAGTCATTTTTCTGTCTCTGCCTACTGAAAAAGGCTAGCATCAGTGACCAGCTCAGTAGCAAGGAGTGTACCCTTAGCTCCCGGGCTGTGGTCTCGAAATCTCTTCTCCATTAAAAGAGCTCGAGTTCTTGGGAGAAACAGCTGGTTCCAGATCTGAGGTATGATATGTACAAGATGAACACAGAATATCTTGTCACCCTAAAAAGCAAAGAGTCAACCAAAGACACGTAGAACTCAAGAGCCAAGCTTTCAAGAGCCTCTTGATAAAACAACGTAAGCATTAATCTGAGTAATAAAGGCAATGAATGGAAGCACAGCCAATATGTTTAAATCCACGAATTCCTAACGATTCTTCATAAGCTTAAATGGAGCATGCGAGGGAATCAACTCCTTATTCTGACATTTAATATTTTTAAAAAGAAAAGAAGCCAGCTTTGCACTGACTTCCTATATGAACTGTAAGCAGCTAGTTGATGAGGGAAACTTCCTTACTACAGAACTCCAGGTAATCCAGGCCGATCTGAACCCGTCAGTCCGTCTCAAAGCTGCGAATAAAGGAACAGCCAGACAGGATGTGCCTTCTGACATGATGCAATGACATAGCAGTTCTCAACCTGTGGGTTGCGACCCCTTTGGAGCTCGAACGACCTTTTCACAGGGGTCGCCTAAGACCATTGGAAAACACATACTTCCGATGGTCTTAGGAACCACCGCTCCTCTATCCGTCTCCAGGCAGGTCCGCCCACATGCAGATACATTCACATATGAGTACCCAGAGTGATGACATCATCATGCCAACCCCATCACATACACCCCATACAGATACAGGTGTATGTGACAGGATTGGCACCATAATGTCCTTATGCGACCAGTCACACATGTAGAGAGCAGCTACTGTGTAGAAAGCAGCTGCTGTGTTAAAAGCAGCTACTGTGTTGAAAACAGCAGTACTGGAGGTAAAACGACACTTCATGAATTATAATTACTGGGTAAATGCTTTAATGAATGCTTTAATCACTATGTTCTAATTATGTTCAATTTGTAACAGTGAAAATACATCCTGCATATCCAATATTTACATGACGATTCATAACAGTAGCAAAATGACCGTTATGAAGTAGCAACAAAAACAATGTTATGGTTGGGGGTCACCACAACATGAGGAACTGCATTTGAGGATCGTGCATGAGAAAGGATGAGAACCCCTGCACTAACACAAACAGGGAAGCATCTCCAATCTACCCTGGCCACAATATCAAGCCCACTAAGGAACCATGGGGGACGAGCCACATGTGACACAAGACCCTGTTGGCACTGTTAGCAAAAGCTAGAGAAAGTGGGAAATCCCACGGGACAATGGTTCTGGTCTCTGTAGCAAATAAATTAGGAGAGAAGGAAAGGTGATTTCTTGATTCAAAAGACTTAGAGATGTTCGGGTCAAATATGGGTGGGCCTTATTAGGTTCTGATTCAAACAAGTCAGTGGCAGGAGGGGGGCGGGGGATGGAAATTAAGCAACTGGAAATTCTAAACACTGCGTATTTGGTGATCTTAAGGAATTGCCATTTAAAAAAATACATGTGACCATGAAAAATATACTCATGATTTTTTAGAAACTTTTAAAAAATTCATACTAGTCTCTCCTTTCCATCCCAGGGAGACGTGATCAAACAGGAAAACACCATGAGCATTGTTTCGATCCATAATGACCTTACGTAGCATGTTGTCTCCACTCCAGACCATCCCCGGGTGACAGCGCCATGGTGCTGATGAATACTGTCTTCTTTGGCTTCCTAGTGATCTCTTGTGGGAACCCAGGGACTCCGAGCAATGCCCGGGTCGTGTTCAGTGACAGCCTGGTTTTCTCCAGCTCCATCGTCTATGAGTGTCGGGAAGGCTACTACGCCACTGGCCTGCTCAGCCGACACTGCTCTGTCAACGGCACCTGGACAGGCAGCGACCCTGAATGCATAGGTAAGAGACTGGGCCCTCTGAACTACATGGCAGAAGTGTGAGCCAGACAATCAGCTGCTTCGTGTAGAATAAGAAGGTTGCCCGTGGGAGCCTGGGAACACTGGCTGGGTGGTGGGATTGGACCTTGAATGGCAACCATAAATTGAGCATAGACTTTGTGGCAGCACTGAGCTACGGGCCTTCTTTCATCGGCATTATCTCATTAGATTCTTACCACAACGTCAGGAAGTAGCTGCTATGAGTCCCACTCTATAGATGAGATGGCTGAAGCTTACACACACACACATATGAGAGAGAGAGGTCCATATGGGCTAGTTCGTAGGCTCTAGCAGTCCCTTGGGCTTTGCGGTTCTTCTTTTGGGCAGCTGCCCAGAGCTCACCACCGGCCACCATCCACCATCTTGGTAGATTCGTTCTCTCCCTTAAGCCCATTTCCATCTTGGCCTGGCCCCATGCTTGGTGTAGCCTCACAGTTTCCAGGGCAGCCTCTGGCCCTTTTCCCTAGAAAGTGAGGCAGGCAGGGTCCAAATGGGGAGAAGTGATAAGGTGAAGGGATCTGACATCTCCCTTTCAAAATGCCAGTCTGTGACAGCAAGGTCCATCTAAACTCCCATGTAGAGGTCGCTTTTGTTCTGAAGGCAGAGTTTGCCAAGCCTCACCCTCATGTGATGCCACGGGCATCCCTTTGCACACCGTATATCATGGAGCCTGCTTAAGCTGCTTGCCCTACAGAAACATCCTGCACGGACAGATGATAAGACATACCTCTTGGGACACCAAATTGCCTATATGGGCCATTAGCACATCTTTGGCTCTTCTACCTGGGAAACCCCCTCTTCCTTGACCCCACCCTCATTTAGCAGCTGGACTCTCTTGGCACTCCCTCGTAGTGTACTGGGTGGTCTTCACAGACTAGGTTGCTAGCGGTGATGTTTGAGACCTGGCCACAGAAACTCTAGAATGAGCAGAGCCCAGTTGGGAGCCTGTGAAGAAGCAGCACAACCCTGATCAGAGAGTTTTTCCTCTTGACCTTGTAGAAGGAGTGAGAGGGCTGGCATTGGACTAAGGAGGAGGCAGGATGTCTGGTCTGGGACTGAACAATGCCATCTCTCTCTAATCCTAGTCATAAATTGTGGTGACCCTGGGATTCCAGCCAACGGCCTCCGACTGGGCAATGACTTCAGGTACAACAAAACAGTGACATACCAGTGTGCCCCTGGTCACATGATGGAATCACATAGGGTGTCTGTGCTGAGCTGCACCAAGGACCGGACGTGGAACGGGACCAAGCCAGTCTGCCGAGGTGAGAGGGAGGCTGGGGGGGGTGGGGGGGGCAGTGGCAAGGAAATGTATGAAAGTGAAACCTGGGCCTTGACCATCTAGAAAGTAGGGAATGGTGAGTGAACCCCTCAGATCATATCCAGGGTGTGTACATTGAGGGCTGGGCCCTGAACTTCATCAAGGTGAGGCCTGGGCCTTCAGCATTGAAGGGAGGGCTGTGCAAAGCGAGAGGGCTGGCTCCGCACAGTGAGGAGAATGATGTAAGGTGCAAAAAGAGAGCTCTTTCTGGTTCTTCCGGCTTAGCCCAGGCTCCCAGCAAATTCGGGGAAGCCGGTGATGTCCATTCTAAAGGCTACGGTCCGGTGCCCCCAGGATGACTCCAGAACTCAGCCTGCTCTGGTCTCCCCCACAGCTATCATGTGCAAGCCGCCCCAGCTCATCCCCAACGGGAAGGTGGTGGGTTCCGACTTCACGTGGGGCTCCAGCGTGACCTATACCTGCCTGGAGGGCTACCAGCTCTCCCTCCCCGCGGTGCTCACCTGCGAGGGAAACGGATCCTGGACCGGGGAGCTGCCTCAGTGTTTCCGTAAGTTGCTAACAAGGACGCTTAGTAGAAATCATCTGACCTCCTGCATTTGCCCTCCTGAGAGCTCCCATGGTGGAACAGGGAGTCCCCTCCCCCAAACCAGAGCGGAAGTTTAACAACAGCCCCACCCCACCATCCCACCCCACTGAGAAAATGGCCCTTAGTTACCCTTTGAGGTTCAGCTTTCAGTTAAATGATAAGGCGAGCCTTTACAGTGGACGGTGCACACTCGTTAGAAAGAAGGGTGACGGGAAAGCGAAGCGTACTCATTTCCATTGATACTCATTTCCATTGATACTCATTTCCATTGATACTCATTTCCATTGATACTCATTTCCATTGATACTCATTTCCACTGCGGGGACTGCAATCGGTGTCACAGGACCACACACATGAACGGTCCAATGGAAAACCAACTCTGGAAACGTTCACCCAAACCACAGTAATACGCTCCCAGAAAAGGAGGGAGGGAGATTAAAGGAAGACCTGAGAATATCCCAGCCGCGCCCTGGCTACCTGCAGACTGTGGCTGCAGCCGCAAATGACAGGATACAGAGTCGGAGATAAGGACGGGTGGTTAACGGGATGAGATAATACCCAAAGATCTCGCAGTGCCCAGCACTGGAAACGCATGTGTCTTCAAAGAAAGGACTTCTGAGGGCCCTGTGATTCTCCGGTGAGAACGGCCATTTCTTACCCACTTGACCCAGCTGTGCCCAGAAGCGCTTCGAGCCAATTCCAGGGCTTGTGTCTCACTGAGGTCCCCAGAGAAGCAGGCTCCTGGTCGTTTGTTCTTGTTCTGGCTCATAGAGGGCTCTGGAAGATTTTACCTGTGCCCCTACATTAGGAAAGCAGTGGGCTGTTTGGGTTTTAGTTGTTTTCACGTTTATAATGATGTAATTCTGCAGAAATCTGCCTGCATATTCGTGGCACTGTGTGTAGCTGCCGAAATGTTGCTTCCATTTGGGGAGAAGTTCAGCAGAGGCCAGGGCCAGCAGAAACAGAGGGTCCAGGGTCAGCAGCAGCAAGGACGTTTGGTCCCTCATCCCAACATTTCACCAGGGAAAGACAGCAAGTCTCAGTGTCTAGTCTGGACCCAGAAATCTTGCTTTCCCTCTTGAGAAATTGCTGGATTGCTTAGTTATGTTGAGTTACTGTCAACCAGAAAAAAATCCCTGCTTTTATCTAAAATTACGAAGAGTTCTCCCTTCTCAATGATAATCATGGTCAAGCTTTTAATAAGGCCTCCACATCAACCATTATGCACTTTTGCATAATGATTTTTCCATAAATCCTATCCGATAGTGCTGCAGGTATATTTCTAGCACTTGTATTTCCAGCCAATGATAATGTCATCAATGCCTTCCTATATCCGTATCATCTGATTTGTATATCATTTTTCATGCCTACAAAGAATTCCATTGTTGTAGGTACCATACTTTATATAATCTCTTCTTGATGGTGAATTTCTATTGCCTCCAACTTAATCCTATTAGAAGTTCTGCATTAAATATCCCTGAAAATAGCGTTTCTTTACTGTTGTGACAACATCTGCAAGGTGAGCGTGCTGGGCCACAGAGCAGGCACTCGGTGCTTCTTGACCAGTATTGCCAGACTGCCTTCTGGAAAGAGTGCCCGACTTACAGCCCCTCAGCAATTGATGAGAATTTTGCAACTCTTTTGCAAAATAGGAATAAAAAGCTCATTATCGTTCATTGGCAGCCTGTTTCAAATTAGCAAGTAAGCCCGATCTTTGCCTTCTCGTTCATTTGTATTTCTCGTTGTCTGAGTTGCTGTCTCCTAGAAATGCTAGCTTCTAATCCAGTCAGCCTCCAGCCACCAGAGGCGTCAATCTTGGGATGAGCCTGCTGTGTTCTGGGGTACAGAACACAACCCCAGCCTCTGCATGATTTTGCATATGAGCCACACTCTCTATGTACACACACAAGTACACATGTGCACACACACACGCACATCATAGCATAATCAATGTTCCTCATCTTTGACGAATTGTTTGGAGGAAGATTTTGCCTTCATTAGCCAAGACACCCACCCTGACCCCACCCCCAGCAATGCCATGAGTACCCTCAGGACATGGTAAGAAAACCATTCAAATGAAAGGGAAAGGGAGTGGCGGGGGGGGGGGGGGGGGACGAGGAGCTGATACCAAGGGCTCAAGTAGAAAGCAAATGTTTTGAGAATGATGATGGCAACAAATGCACAAATGTGCTTGACACAATGGATGGATGGATGGATGGATTGTGATGAGTTGTATGAGCCCCCAGTAGAATGATTTTTAAAAAGAAAGAAAACGACTAACACACTGGCTGGGATAAGAATCTATGGTACAACCTCTCACTGCAAAATTACACAGCCCTCCAGTAGAATGGTGCCGTAAATGTGTAAAATATTGATATTAAGTGAACAGAGCAAAATGCACAAGCACACCGCCATGGGGTTGGCAACCACGCACAAACTTGCGTGCCACTGAGCACAGACTGGAGGGGAACGCACGAAAACAGAAAGGAACAAAAAATTGGGTTGGGGGTCATGGGGTCATGGTTCATGTGCTCCTGTAGCCTGTGCTTGGGAGGGTGGTTGTGGAGCATTTGGGGGGAGGCGCAGAAACAGAGCAGTGTGGGGGCAGGTGTACACACTCTCGGGACCCTGCACCCCGCTTCAGAGCTTGGAGGAGAGCGGGACAAAGGCTGGACGGGGCACAGGTGGGGCTCAGAGGGCAGCATCTCAAACCTGCTTTCTCCCTTCCTCTTCCCAGCCGTGTTCTGTGGAGACCCCGGTGTCCCACCCCGAGGCAGAAGAGAGGACCGGGGCTTCTCCTACAGGTCGTCTGTCTCCTACTCCTGCCAGCCCCCTCTGGTGCTGGTGGGCTCTCCACGGAGGTTCTGCCAGTCTGATGGAACCTGGAGCGGCACCCAGCCCAGCTGCATAGGTGAGAGGGGGCCTGGGGAGAGGGAGGTTCCTGACCGGCAGGCAACCTTCGTTCGGGCTGAAATAACTACTTCCCTTCCCATCTTCAGTGGTCTCATCTGTAAAAAGTACTCCTCAGAGCCTTTTAGAGAAGAATAGAAAATAACCAGTGTTAATGTGCTATGTATGCTCGGTGAGTTAAGCCCTGGGCTACTCACTGCAAGGTTGATAGTTCAAACCCGCCAGCCAGGCCATGAGGAGAACGATGAGACTGTCCACCCCCAGGAACACGACAGTGTCAGACAGCGGAAGAAGCAGTTCCCTTCTGCCTTCAAGGCTCGCTCTGAGTCGGCGTCTACTGGGTGGCCATGGGTTAGCTGGTTGACTGACTATGGGGTGCCCACGGTTAAGTACTTGCCTGCTGAGTGAGAGGTGAATGGCCTGAGCCCTCCCACGGTGTACTAGAAGAGAGGCCGGGTGATCCACTTCCTTTGGAGCACATGTCTACCCTGCAGACACGGGGTCACCAGGAGTTGGAGTCCACCCAATGGCAGTGGGTTGGTTTTGCTGTTTTGCTATGCTCTGAGCGGGAATCAACTCGATGGCAGTGGGTTTGGGGGTTATTTGAGAAAGGGTATAATGAGCCGGGAGAATGGTTCGCTTGGAGAGACCACACGTCTGGCTACCGCCCGGTTTCTTCCCTACATCTGTTTCTCAGAGGGTGGTGGGGCTGTGAAATGTTCAGCGACCCTGTGCTGTGTTTCTTGTCTTGGCACATCCAGACCCGACGCTGACCATGTGCACAGACCCCGGTGCGCCACAGTATGGGATCCAGAACAATTCCCAGGGCTACCAGGTAATGAGGTGGCCATGATCGGCCTCTCCCGTCTCTTGTCCTTTAACTAGAACAGCAATGGCTGGAATGGAGGTCGGGGGTGGGGGGGAAGGAGGTGCTGTGCCACTTGGGAGCAGGCTCCACAGAGCACCATTGAGAAGCAGCAGGTGTGGAAAGATAGCGCATGGGTTTCCACAAACTCCTCCCGCCATCCCGGGTAGCTGGGGCAGGATGTTTGTGGAGATAGAGAAGTCAGTGAGACAGACGGATCTGCTCTCCCCAAGGTGCCCACGTACGACCCATGGACCCAGAGTTCATGCCGGAGACACGAGCAAGACAGGGGTCACACATCCTGCAGATACAGCTCAAAATGGGCTTTGGGAGGAGGGGCACTCTGAACAAAGAAAGGACTGAATTGTAGGGGGCAAGAAGAAAAGCAATCGATAAGACCCTGTTGCACTGGCTTGGGTCAAAGATGAGGGTAGGTTTGGGCATGGGTAGTAACAATGGAGCTGGAGAGAAGGTGGCCGTGGAGATATGTTTTCGATGTAGAACCAAGAGGAGCAATGGGTGGACTGGATTGGGGGCGTTGAGAGAAAGGAAGGAGTCAAGGTGGCCTGAGGTTTTCCAGTGGAGCAGCTTGTGAATCCTTCCAGAGTGCAGATTGGCATGGAAGAAGAGGGAGTGGAAATATTGAATTTCCCATTGTGTTTGAATTTGATCCGGTCAAAAATAGGAACTCCTGAGTATTTTTCTGAGCAAGAGAAGAATAGAGTCCAAGTACCAAGTTACAGTTTAGGACATTGATGGGCAGCATGATGCCGAGTGGATTCGAGTGGAAAGTCAGAGCAAGTGGGTGCAAACGTGTAGAGTCAACTGAGGGGCCAGTGGAAAGCATGGGGGGGAGGAATCCCTGCACAGAGGCAGAGGTTGAGGGAGCTTGAGCACTCAGTCCAGCAGACATTTACAAACACAAGGGCGACGTCTCTGTAATTAAGTCTCCTCTTCTTGGCCGCCTTCTCCATGAAGATGGTACAGGAGTGGACAGCGTTTTGTTCTGTTTTCTCTAAGGTCACAGGCGTTGGACTGACTCCACAGCATCCAACAGCAACCACGGCCAGTCTGGAAGGAGTTTGCACTCAGACAGAGACACACACCACTAACAGTTGTATTTTGTGCAGTTCTTCACATCTTTCCAATCTGCCATCCCATGTGCGCATCACAACAGTCCAGTGTAAAGGAGGCAGGGATCGTGATACACAGAAAGACTCAGGTGGGGAGCGTTTCCAGGAATAAGTAGAGAACCCAGAACTCAGAGCCAAGGTCTCTAGGCTCTGGTTCAGGTGTGCTGCCCATCACCGCAGACTGTGCTGTGTTCTGTAAGAGCGGCGAGCTGGTGCAGGGATGATCCTTCGTGGGAGAGGCAAGATGTCAGCTGACAGGAAAGATAAATAAGATGTAACCACGCAGAGAAGGCTATTACAGGCAGAGGCCACAGGTAGATCTTGGGTCAGGTGGCAGTGCCCTAGTCCAGCGGCCAGGCTATGGCACATTGCTGGATGGAGGGTAGTCACGGGACCTCGTGTTCTTGCTGCAGGTGGGGAGCACAGTGCTCTTCCGTTGTCAGAAAGGCTACCTGCTTCAGGGCTCCACCACCAGGACATGCCTCCCCAACCTGACTTGGAGTGGAACCCCACCCGACTGCATCCGTGAGTTGAGACTTCACCTGCAGCCCAAGAAAACCCTCAGTCACACCTTCCCTCTGCCAGCTGGTTACCCACCACGTGCTTAAATACTATGAACACCAGGGAGCTCACACCTTCTCGTGCGCACCAGTATGCGTCTCTGTAGTTCTCACTCCTGGGAGCCTCACAGGGGACCTTGAATTTCCTTTCCACGCACAGCCTTTCTGATCCTGGAAGGCAATGTCTGCATTAAGGCAGAGAAAGCTTTCCAGTAGCAGCAAAAATAAATAACAACTATAAGGTCAGACCTCTGGTTTTAACCAAAATGCTTCTTTCTTTCCTGGAGAAAGGGGTTACAGGTCTGGGTTCCTCCAGGGTTGGGTGACCAAACTAATGTCCACATTATCTCCATCTCAGCTATTCAGATTGGCACCAAAGCTGGGGACGTCAAGGATGGGAATGGGGAGGGGACTGCTGGGCACAAAAGGGGCCCACACGGCACAGGAACGGGATTGATCACAAGTGAACAAAGGAATGACCGAGAAGGCTTACTGAGGACTCCTAATCTCCCAAGATGCAACCATCTCTTTCTTCTCATTTAGCCCACCACTGCAAGCAGCCAGAGACGCCAACCCATGCCAATGTTGGAGCCCTGGACTTGCCCTCCATGGGCTACACGCTCATCTACTCCTGCCAGGAGGGTTTCTCCCTGAAGGGTGGCTCTGAGCATCGCACCTGCAAAGCCGATGGCAGCTGGACAGGCAAGCCACCCATCTGCCTCGGTGAGTGAACCCCCTCGATCTTCCCCACGGTGGGCGGCCGTGTTGACAGCTGGGCTGGAGATTAACAAAGGCAGAAGCATTTTCATTTCCTGCAGCTACCATAATAGATGTCTACAGATGTGAAGGGCCAACGCAACTGATGCTCAGTCTCCCAAGGTTCAGCAGGGCTCTACTCCTTCCAAAGACTGGGTGGGAAGTGCTGGTTCTTGCCCCACCCACCTACCGGTTCAGCCTTGCCATTGGCTTGTAGCCATGTCGTTCCTATCTCTGCCTCCAACGTTGCCTGCCTTCTCCTGTTTGTCCCTTCTCTCTGTGTCTCTGATAAGGGACTTGTGACTAGGTTGAGAGCCCACTTAGATAATCCAGCATGGTCTCATTTGTAACTGAATTCTATCTGCAAGGATCCTTTGCCGAAGGTAAATCCATGGGTTGTAGGAGCGCTGGTGGTGTAACAGTTATACCGTGGGCTGCTAACTGAAGGTTAGCAATTCGGAACCTCCAGCTGCTTCTCAGGAGAAAGGCAAGACTTTCTATTCCTATAGAATTCCAGTCTCAGAACCCAAAGAAACAGTTCTGCCCTGGCCTGTACAGTCATCATCAATCTGAATAGACCAATGGCAGTGAGAGCTGAGTGAGGGATTAGCATGGGGACTTATCCTTCTGGGGCCTACTATTCAGCAACCCCTTAAGATAAGGGTGTCCAGGACCTGGATCCTGGTTCTGATTTCCTGAAATGCTGAGCATCTAAGAGACCTAGCACAGAGCAATCTCAAGAGAGGCACCTACTGAAGACATCCCAAGTTTCACACACACACACACCCTGTTCTGCTTGAGGTTAAAGACAGTCTGAGCTTATGTGTATTCATCTGGAAGGGGATAAAGATCTCACAAATATTATAACCTTGATAAAACAGCAACACCTACACATCATTTGGGAATTACCAAGGTATCCCAGACCTCCTCCCAGTCCTTTTCCTTCACTCATTCCCAATTTATTGAGCATTGTCACTCTGCCATCCCTGTGCTGAGCTTGGAGGGTGCTGGAGGGAAAGACACAAAGCCTGCCCTGAAGGAGCTCCCACCCTGCTGACAGAGCAGACCGACAGACAGACAAGGCAGCAGGTACAGCAGAACCTTGAGAAACACAGAGGCGTGGGAATCAGGAAGAAGAACATGGACCCGGCCTAAGGGAGGAAAGGGGAAAGTCAAGGAAAGCATCCTGGAGAAGATGATGCCTGAGTGCAGCAAAGGTAACGGATCCCTTTGGTGCCACAATGGCATCAATCCCCTTATTACAAGGGCTCATCTCACTAGGTGCCAAGCATTATTCTAAGAACTGCATACAGTTACTCTCATGCTTACAATAATCCTATGAGGCAGGGACTACGTATAGCCTCATTTAATATTTGGGGAACTGAAGCCCAGAGAGGTTAAGTACGATGCCTAAGATCACAGAGTGGCAAGGGACAGAGTTAAAATTGAAACCCTTACCGTCTAACCATAGGATCCATGCTTTTAGCCACGTTGCTATACTGCCTTTCCACAAAGAGAGAGCAGCTTCAGGTTTACAGACTTTATGAGAACTAGAATTTTATAACATGCTTTAGTTGTTATAAATTTCTTTTGTTTTCAGAAAGTAATATTTGTTTTCCACCTATTGGAGCAATATGAAGTTTCTTTTATTTTAAGTACATTTATGTAAGGTTTAAAATGTGATTTAATTTAAAGAAAAAGATCAACAATAATAATACAGGTGATTCTCTACCTGGCCAACTAAGCTGACACTTCCTTCCACTCCAGACATATATTTACACCATAACAATTTTTTTAAAGATTTAAATACATAGTCAAGGAATGTCATTTTCAACTTTTTGGTTGAATGATGATTAAAACATAAGACATCAAATAATATTAAAGACATCCATATGCACCAGAAGAAACAAAACGCTCTTTATTTGCAGATGATAAAATACTATTTAAAGAAAAATCTCAAAGATTCCATTTGAAAATTGCTGGAACTAATTAGAAATGTTGGCAACATAGCAAGCTATAAGATCAACATATAGAAATCAGTTTAATTCTTACATATTAAAATGCCAAAAAGGAAATGAAGAAAAAACACCATTTACAATAACTACCCAAAAGATAAAATATCTAGGAATAAATCTTACCAGAGAAACAAAAGGCTTACACAAAGACAGTTAAAAAATATTTCTTTTAGAAACAAAGACACAAATGAAAGACTGTTCCATGCTCCTGTATAGGAAGACTAAATACAGTGAAAATGTCAATATACCAAAAACACTTTATAATGTCAATGCAACTCCAATCCATATCTCAGCACAATTCTTCAAATTAGTGGATAAACTAATCAGCTACTTTTTATGGAAAGGAAAGAAACCCAGTTATCAGACATCAAAGAACTAAAAATCATATCAGTGGGTGCCCACCTTCCTGATACAATCACTGAAGACAAACGTGTGCA